CCTCTTCAATACCGGAGATATTGTTTACCCCTAACTTCTTTAAGGAGAACTGAAGTTTTTTATCATCTGCTGTGGCTGTTCTATGAACCACCTTCTTCTTTCTGCGAGCAGTTCCCTAAAGTTAGGGAGAAGAGGAAAGAAAACAGCACATTTATACCACAACAGATATTTTTCAAATGGGAATAGTTTCCAATTCATTTCTGACCTTTGGATCTGTATAAGAACATTACCATAATCATAAACTTATGCAGTGAGCCGGCAGGCTAAGACAAAAATAGAAGCAAAAAATGGGAAAGGAAAAGAATGATCTTTACAAAGTTCTACTTTTTACATTTGCTCTAAAAGTGATCAAAGAGGTAGCATGTGTCAACCTAAATTAAGCATTTGAAAGAACTCCACATCCAGAATTATTAACCTTTCCTGGTTTTTTTTTTTTTTTGAGACAGGGTCTCACTCTGTTGCCCAGGCTACAGTGGCGCAATCTCGGCTCACTGCAACCTCCGCCTCCCAGGTTCAAGCGATTCTCCTGCCTCAGCCTCCCAAGTAGCTAGGATTACAGACACTCTCACCATGGCTGGCTAATTTTTGTATTTTTAGTAGAGATGGGGTTTCACCATGTTGGCCAGGCTGGTCTCAAACTGCTGGCCTCAAGTGATCCGCCCACCTCGGCCTCCCAAAGTGTTGGGACTACAAGCATGAGTCACTGTGCCTGACTCCTTTTCTGTTTTTATATTAAATAAAAATCAACCCAAATTAGTATTTACAGGCAAGATAGTGTATGGAACAATCAAATGAATCTGTATATAGACTTCTATAGCACTCGAGAGTAAAGTCTGAAGTCCTTACACCTTAACCTACAAGAGCCGTACACAAACTGTCCTGCCCTTAATATGCCACTCCTGACTGCATCTGCTACCACCCCTCTTCTTTAGCCAAATAAACCTTGGCTGTTCTTTGAACAGGCCAAGCAGGCTATGACCCAAGGGCCTTTGCACATGCTGTTCCTCTCTTTCCGGAACATCTACATGGCTCTTTCCCTCACTGCAGATCTCAAGTCTTATGTCACTGGGTCAAAGTGGTCTTTCTCAACTACCCAAAGTAAAATAGCAACTTCCACACTCACCCATCAATTTCTTTCTATCCTGGTTTATTTCTCTTCATAACACTTATTACTATAAGAGACAAATACATTTTATCATCCATCTCCTTTCACTAGAATGTAAGCTCCATAAGGACTTCTGTTTGTTGCTATAAACCCAGTATCTACAACAGAGTCTAGCTCATTGAAAGCACTCAAGGAAAGGCTATCACATCCAACTACCTCATTTTCCCCCAACCTCCATCCCTATTCCTATTCATCCTTTAAAATCTTATTCAAGTCATTACCTCTTGTGTGCCTTTCCTAAATTCTACAACTATCCCCTTTCCCTATGCCAAATCATTCCCATCTCTAGATTTTGAAAATGCTTCTACTATTGTACTATGTATATTACACTGTGAAAACAGATTTATTTATTTATTTATTTATTTATTTCTTAAAAAGACAATAATCAAATTATCACCACTGCTAGGCCTAAAGCCCACCTAGGGACTTTAAACTTCTTAAATTTTATATTCTCAGGATCCAACATAGTAAAGACTTAAATAAATCTTGTTATTTAACTGAAGAAAATATCTATAGCTACAAAAAAAAAAAAAAAAGTACTGGTTACTAACCTCTCCCAACTATTAAGAACAAAAATCACTTTGAAATGGTCATGTATGTATCTGGTTTCCAAATAATCTTCTCTAAGAAATTCAAAGGAATTTCTAAGATTGTAAAGACAAACCCAGCATACCTTCTATAGGTTTCAGACACTTCACATGTTGAGTTCAATTTTCACTTAATTATTATTAACGCTCTGATTAGATATGAAAATAAAAGGCTTTTGTAACATTTACCTAAGAGCACCTAACACCTACAGTTTTCTCTAAAGCAAAATTAACTCACCTAATTTCACATCCCATAATAAGTACGCTTCTTACACAGTGAAGAAATGTTTCCATATTCTGTGACTACAGAAATACTTCTTGTATTATTAGCTAAATGAGTATTAAGATGTTAGGACACAAAATTTAATCTTGTATCAGCTTTAAATATCCTAGCAAATCTCAAGATTTTCCTTTACCCTAAAGTGATGTCTCCCAAAGTTAAAGCCTAATGATGGGAGTAACAACAAAAAGATTGCACATAAGCACATTATTCAAATTACTCCTTCTGAAACTGTACTGAAAGTAAGAGTGGTTAAAAACACCAATATAACAGCATCCAAACACTGACACACAAAAATTTGAGTTTTGCTGGCACTTGAAGGCCAGTCTGGTAACAATTGATTAAAAAGGGCAAGAAACACCTAATGTTGTTAAATATGTGGGTGTGGATCTTGAAGACTGCTAACATTAGCAAAAATAAAAAGTAAAAAAAATCAGGATAAATTCACTGCTGGCAAAGTTCAGTAATTTAACAAAGCTGTATATTATTAAGTCTACGTGCAACTTCTGGCTATCTCACAGCTGACTCTAAGTTAAACGCTTAAAGTTGGGAAAAACTAATAGGCAATAAACACGTACTATGGAAGCTTTACAAGTTTTACCAAGTAGAGACATGTGCTGTTTCAACAAGCTACCACACCTTGTTAAATACTAAGAATGTGCTAACAATACAAACTAGGTAAACCTCTGTCTACAGTGGACTTCTTATTTAAGTAAATTACAGGACAATCTAAAAATCAACTTCAAAAAAGAATCCCCTTGATGTGAATCAATATCTACCAGGAAAAAACAATTAATCAAAAACTGATCATTTAAAAATCAGTCACTTTAATTCCCTCATTTTTATAGTAATACAAAGTCAGAAAAGGAAATACACCTACTTGGGTTATATTTTCAAATCTAACAGTCACTGCCCTTAAACTCCAAAATGTACCTATATCTTCAAATACCCTTGAAAATATGCAACTACCCTAAAGAATATTTAGTTCAGAAAGCAGTACAGAAAGGTCTCAATTTACAAGAGACACAAACAAGCACTGACTTTATACAACTTAGGCCAAAACAAGTCAAGGGTATGATGTGCACAACGATCTAACTGAAATGACACATTTTCCTTACAAATTAAATTAGGAAACACTTTTGTTCTACTTATACTCTGTAACACTGAAAACACAAACATATTTACACAAAAGCGATGTTTTTAGCTCGTCTCACTGATGTGTCTCTAACTCTTGTCTCCCCGGCTCCTTGGGATTTACTGGCTCCATGAATTTCCCTCGATAGGCAGTTTGTCACCGATAATATAAGAAGTGCAAAAACAATGTTTTTAAAAATACCTAAGCCTTAAAAAAAAAAAACAAAAAAAAAAAACCCCGAACTATTAAAACTTACTTTCCCACCAATGCGCACTTGTGCCTGCAGTTTGGCGAGTTTTTCCTGGTTCATGATTGTTTCTTTCATCTAGAAAAAGAGGAAATCCTCAGCAAGGATAGGTTTAGCTCACTCTAGCATTCCACGCTCGTTATTTCCCAAGATAACAGCAGGAACATAAACGTCCTACACAGGCCGAAACCTGGATCCCAAATCCACCCCGCAGAGCTCCAAATTTGGGTTTCCAGGGAGCCCAAAGAGCACCCGCCTCCCCACACTCCCCCACAGCTCCCCGCTCTTGGCAGGCCCGGATCAAGGGCTCTACCCCACGCCTGGCCAGCACCCCCCACCCATGGCCCTGGCCTGGCCTCGGCCTAGCCAGGGCCTCCCCGGCCCGGCCACTCTCCGCAAGCCTCGCGGTACCTGAGGCTCCTGTCCTCGGGTTCCGCCGCGAGGTGGAGGTAGAGACAGCGTCGCCTCGCCCCCAGGGCAGCCGCCCCTGGCTCGACCTCGCCCCCGAGAGTCAGCCTGAGCGGGAGCGCCTGTCCGTCGCATCGCCTTCCTCTCCTCTGCCCTGTCCCTCCCTGTCTCGCTCCTTCAGGGAACTTCCCGCCCCCGCTCCCGTCCTCCTACCACGCCGCCGTCCAGAGCCTTTTTGTACCTTGTCGGAGCGAATAAGGGGCCGCGCGGGGGACTAGGGTTGGTGCTCAAGGGGTCTCGGGTGGACCAGCTGAGATTAGGCGCACACACGCGGGGACGCAAGATGGCAGCTAAAAGGAGGCCGGAAGTGACACAAGGCTACTTCCTCCAAGAGTCAGGAAACTGACTTCGCCGCGAGCGCAGTTCTTCCTTGCGCAAGCGCGGCAGCGTTTGTGACGGTAGGGCGAGTGCGTTCTCTCCTCCGCCTCTTTCAGCAGCTGCCGGCTGCAGGCCGCACGAGGGACTTCTGGCTTCGGGCGCCGCCCGTACCTCTGGGAGAGGCCACAAAGGGGTCGGAGAGCGCGGTCCTGTGCAGTTAGGGTTAAGTCCGATCAGTCTCCATTGGGCCCTGATCCTGAAGTTCTGTACCGTCCCAAGAAAGGGCCTGTTCACGTTTCCCGGAGACGCTGGAGGTGCCCAGCTTGTGCTCACCACTCGAGCAGCCCTACCCTTGTTGGAGGTGTAGGTTGGAGAATTGTAGAATTTCCCTCTCGGCCCGAATGAGCCATTACCAAAGCATTTTGTCAAAAATAATGAAGTTAGTTTTGCTTTCCGAGATTAGGTGGTGTGGTAGATTGCGGGACCGAGGTTCAGAATTTCTGGGGGCTGTAGCCCCGAGCCCCACACCTCAGAATGCAACTCCGTACGACGAAGGAACTGGTAATCCGCATTTCAGCCAATATAGCGGATGACTAACCACCTTAAAACGGTCTACACAATTATCTTGTTTATCAGGAAAAAAAATTGACTCCTAGATACCGAATTGGCGTAGATTTGACAATTAGGTGTTCACGGTTAAGCAGACTTTATCTATCTTAATCCAATCACAGGAGAAATTCTGCCTGCTGTGTTTGGAGAGACAACGCGTGGATGTGAGTTAAACTTTGCTAAACCCCAGGACAAGCTTTAAGACAAAACCACTGATACTTAAAATGGCAATTTAAATAAAAATGCTGTCTGATCAGCCTTTTTGTGGTCTTAACCATGAAATGTTTTCGCGTATTCAAAAGTGAGTCCGAAATCTTAGAATGCAGTGTATATAGCAAGAAAACTTGTGTAAGTGCAGACTCCTCTCCAGTTAAGATCAATATTTAAACTTTTTGAATACTTTTTACATACAAGTTTGTTGAAATTGATGTCTCAAGAACATAACTGGTGAGGACAGCTGTATTGCTTTTTAGAATAATTGTTACAGTTATATTTACAAAAAACAATGTTGCTTCAGTTAAATATGAGTGAAGTTTCGTACAGGAAAGGGTGTTCGTAATGGATCACCTTCCTAATGACAAAGACCAAAATGGCAGTACCAACACTTCTGTGCTCTGGAGATAATTACAAAATATACAGAAAGACTCCCCCTTTTTGAGAGAAATGTCTGTCTCTGTCCAGGAACAGTTTTTTTTCCTCTCCTCCACGTTACACTGGAGACATTTGAAAGTTCCTAGTCACGTGATGTTTTCTGAGCTTTTATAGAAAAAAGATTCTATGTATGTAACCTGCCACCTGACTTTTTTTTTTTCTTTTTTTTTGCCTTCCCTCCCCTCTGCCCTGACTCATCTTTTAATACACCCGTTTTCAGGAAATATTGTGAGCTACTTTATGTTTATTTTTTGAAACTAGGGATGCTGCTAATTTTATTTTTATGATTTTTTTTAAATGTAAAACTTTAAAAATATTAAAAGAGATGGGGTCTTACTTTGTTGCGTAGGCAGGGCTCAAACTCCTGCGCTCAAAGGATCCTTCAGTCTCAGCCACTTGAGAAGCTGAAACTACAGGTGTGCACCATTTTCCCTGGCTTATGACTTTTTAAAAAAAAAATTTACTCTTGTTCCTACTTTTCTCTCCTGTTCTTTCATGAATTTAAAGATTTGCTGCGTGTCGAAAATATAAAAGATTCCTTAATGGTTAAAAAAGAAAATTTTGATTTTCTTTTTATGTTCTGCTTTGGTTTGGTTTTTGTGCTTTTCTATTTAGAGATGGAAGTCTTGCTGTGTTGCCCAGGCTGATAAACTCCTGGGTTCAAGCCATCCTCTGACCTGGGCCTCCCAAAGTGCTGGGAGTACAGGCATGAGCCACCATACCTGGCCAAAATTTTGATTTGTGACTCCAGCTGCTTCTGCTTGTTTTATGAGTAGTCAGGAAATTCTGATTCCTCTAATAATTATATACTAGACTTTTCAAAAATATGGGATTTTTTTGTTTCAAAAAAAGTTACTACATTGCGTTCTTAGCTCAAGGATGCCAAAAGAGTAACTTGTGCTAATGTGGGAGCCATTTCCAGTATGCTCCCAATGTCTATGGCAAATGTGAGTAATTGGCTCCCACGCTTTCCTGCTGGGCTTCAAGGAGCCTAAGAATCATTTACTCAGCACTCAAGATGGTATCTGTCAATAGAGAAGGCAAGAAAGGTGAACCCTGTTTGCCCTCCTTGGTTTATAGTTTATAGCCTAATCAAAGTCCATGAATTGTTTTAATCTCTCAGCTGGACTTAAGTCAGCTTCAGCAAAAGTCAAAATATCCACTTTATATAATGCTTCTTTCTGTCTTTTTTTTTTTTTTTTTTTAGTCTTGCCCTGTCACCCAGGCTGGAGTGCAGTGGTGCAATCTTGGCTCACTGCAACCTCCACCTCCCAGGTTCAAGCGATTCTCATGCCTCAGCCTCCTGAGTAGCTGGGATTACAGGTGCCCACCACCACTCCCAGCTAACTTTTGTATTTTTTGTTAGAGGCGGGGTTTCACCATGTTGGCCAGGCTGGTCTCAAACTCCTGACCTCAAGTGATCTGCCTGGGATTGCAGGCATGAGCCACCGCACCTGGGCAACTCAAGATTCTTAATAGATGGTAGGGCTATTTCCCTTTTTCACTTTTCAAACTGACATATTTAAGGATATTCTATATACATTTTAGGTTTTGTTTCATTTTGAAATTTTGATTAGGATTGGTTGTATAGATTGATTTGGGAAACTTGTATATATTTTCTAATTGTATGCCTCTGCATTCACTTGTAGGAAATCTGGCTATTTTTAATATATAGGGATTTAATATAGGGAATTGGTGCTTTACAAAGTTTGAAGGACTGGAGGAGTGGACTTTAGCCTGGGCTGTCAGAAGTGAGTCCTAAGATAATACAGATTTAGTATCCCTAATCCAAAAATTTTAAATCCAAAAGGCTCCAAAATCCAAAGCTTTTTGAACACCAGCATCATGCTCAAAGGAAATGCTCATTGAGCATTTCAGATTACAGATTTTCGATTAGGGCTGCTCAACCAGTATGTACATAATGCAAATATTCCGGAAAAAAAAATCCCAAGTCTGAAAAATTTCTGGTTCCAAGCATTTCACATAACAGGTACTCAACCTGCACTCAAGAACTAGGCTGTCATGGGACCTGCTGCAACTGTTTTCACCCATTAGGAGGATGGAGAATCAGGACCCTACAACTGGAATTATTGATGTTAAGAATGCACCACTGTAGCTACAATTCAGGAATCAAGAAGATAACTGTAGGAAGTACTCCTCAACATCCACAAAGCTAATGACTGAGCTCTGGAAAGCTGCTGCAGAAAATCTATCTCATGAGCATGCTTGCCAGCAAAATTAAAGCAGCAGGAAAAAGGCTTTAGCCTCACTTCCACCTTCCAAATCTTACTTAAATGTACTTAGTTGGCAAAAATAATTCACTTCTAGAGTGGTAACGGCAAGGAAATCTGTAAAATACAGTTTTTAACTTTCCAAATTTATAGTACAGGGAGGCAAACTTGAAAGTAATTGGAACTGATCTGTGTACCAATCTACCTTACCTACCCAAAATTTCACCTCCATGAACATAGTGCATCTGTTTTTTCAAATCTTTTATGTATTTTAATAGCGTTTTAAAAACCTTCTGAAGGTCGTGTGCATTCTTTAATAGATGGATTCCTGGATGTGATAGTTTTTATTCTTAATCTCTTTCCTATTTTAGTCATTGCAAATGTCTTCTCCTGGTCTGTTAAATCCGTCATACTCTTGTTAAACAGAAACATAAATTTTTGACCCCAGGCTGATCTAGTTGTCAATTTACAGAATATACAAAAAACAGAAAAACATGTTAAATTATTCCACAGAATGCAATCAACAAAATTCAAATTACAGGAAATGAAAGGACAAATAATCTCCAAGGGGGAGGGGGAAAAAAGAATAAGGGGATCTTTGGATTAAGAGAAACCTAAGAGACATATCAAACAAACGAAAAACCCACAGGAAAGTAGGCAAAACAATAGTGTCTAGGGGTGCATGCTTAGGTAATGAAACTGAAGAGGAAAGGAATTAAGTATAAAAGAATAGTGGTTATTCCATGCTGGGTGAGGTGACTCACACCTGTAATCCCAGCACTTTGGAAGGCCAAGGTGGGTGGATCACTTGAGGTCAGGAGTTTGAGACCAGCCTGGCAAACGTGGTGAAACTCCGTTTCTACTAAAAATACAAAATAAATAACTATAATTTTAAAAAAAAAGAATAGTGGTAATTCTTGCAGAAAAGGGGTTATAGTTGGGAGGAGGCATATAGTAGATTTCTAGACTGGGGAGCAAGGGTCTGTCTTCTTACATGTAGAGTGTATATGGTTCTCTGTATTTGCTATGTGGAACAAAATTTCTTAAAAGGAAAAGCACACATGATATCTAATGCAAAGAAATATGCATATTTATGATCATATTTCAACATTACAGTGCATACATTTATGGAGAAGGAGAATGGGAGTAAAGATCAGAGAAAATGAGAGTGTCTTGCATGCACTGAAAATGACAATGTGCTAATAATATATCATGTTTAGATAGCCTTTAATATACATTAGGCACTGTTCTTAGTGCTTTGCTTATATTAACTCATTTGATCACGTGAAGTAGATACTATTACTCCCATTTTACAGAACCAGAAAACTGAGGCACGCAGAGGTTAAGTAACTTACTTAAGGCCACAGTGCTGGTAAGTGGCAAAGCTGAAACACAGACCCTGGCAGTTTGCTCCATTCTCTGTGCTCATAACCATTATACGATGCTGCTGACTACTAAGGAATATGATTGTCTCAACTCTGCACCTGATGCTCAGTAAAA